TATTTCTCTCAGTGTATATTTGATTTCAAGGTCCCGCCAATATATCACAAGTCAATTTCCCATGTCCATAAATCAATACGAGCCAGTTGGTTACTTCAATTTGTGTGGAGCGCGCAGGAAGCAGCTGCATTCCTGAAGCCGATCCATACAATATGTATGTAAGGGTATATAGACTCTTGTTATGCTCACAATGCTGGCACTATCTATCCATTTGTCTGGCAAGTTTCCGTTTGACAATTATAAATTGTAAGCTGCGTTGCTCCGTTCCTGCTCCTGCTCCAGCTCCTGCTCCTGTTCCTGCTCCTGCTGATGCTGTGACATAATCGCGATGATTCCTGAACTGACTTGGGGCAAGTGCGATTCATATTTTGTGAGCTGTCTGCCGGCTACCGGACTACGGTCTGGACATGATGAATGATGCTCAACGATGCAGCTGCAATGCGCCACTGATTGAGTTATTGGCAAAGGCAGCAGAGTGAGAGGGAGACAGAGCCACAGATAGAGGAGCCCGAGTGTGGGAACATGCAAATATGATAACAACACCTACAACATGCCACAGAGTTGTTCGCGCTGCCTGGCCAAGCATGCCACAGTGCATGCCACAGAGCACCTTTCGACTCGTGCAGTCTTATTGTGTTCGACACTAAACAAGAACAAGGTCCAACTTATCCCTGTTCGGGCAACGATCCGTGCATGTTGTCCGGCCAGGCCCAAGCCCAGGCCTATTGTTTGTCCAGACTCGGAGCATGTTCGTTAAGTGGAACTGGAGTGCAGTGCAGTGCGGCACACAGGCACTGGCTGTCCGTAATTACCAGCAGACTGCCGACTGCAGGCTGCAAGGACATGCCAAGGATGTGAGTCGTCCGAGTAAATAAAACTGTGCAGACAATTAAGTTTGTTTTTGCTTCGCATATTTTCCTTACCATCCAAGCCAAGCAATTTAACGTTACGTTTATGTATATCTGTCTATCTGGCCTACCCCGGCGTAGGTGTTGAGATCTGGCCCAAGAAATAGCACTAATTGATGCTAAAAGGTTTTTGTGTTGGTCAACTTTGAGTTTTATTTGCTTGACTTTCTCGTTGAGTAATTTGATTTCATGTCGAAAAAGCCTACCAAATCTTGTCTAATTGAAAATGCCAGATAAGCAAAATTTGTGAATTTATTAAATATGAAATATCGAAATTTATTTGAATAGACAAGAGATTAGCATAAAAGGTTTTTATTGTATTTTAATTTAAGAGTGTTTTATGATTACTTTAAATTGATCTTGATTTTATATATTTATTTTTTTATGCTTTAGCTGTAATATATAAATAAACTATATTATATTGATATATACAAAATTTGTTGCAATATATAAATTATCGTGTCACGAATATAATGTGATTTGATATTGTGATAGACAACATAACGTCTTATTATTAGAGTATTGTAGGAGTTATTACTCGAGTTGGCAGCACTCGTCTTAGTTTACTCAAATTGGCACCTTGCGAGAGTGAGACAAATAGAGCTGTTGATGAAAATAGTCCAAGCGGTCACTGAGAGAGAGAGAGAGAACGAGATGGCAGTAGGCCTCTCATCGAAAAATCAACGTGTTTGTCAGTTGCCTGACAGCGGTACAATATAGAGGAAGCTGTAAATTAACGAGATCGATTTAAAAAGAGAGCAAGCTTATTGCGAAAGTACGGCAGAGTTTATTAAAGAGCGTGGCTTTACTATGGATAGGCAAAATGATCGTTTTGAGCGAGTTAATACTTATATTTATATGGATATTCACGTGTATGTATATGTATGGATATAAAACACAGCAAATTTTTAATCATTCTCGGTTTTCTTTGCAGATTTCCCATACGTAATATACGCGGTGTAGAGTATGGATGCCATTTAGTAATTTATTATTAATCAACTGTTCAGCATTTGTAAAACTGGGATGGAAAAGGATGGTAAGTCGGAGTTTTTATATCTGGTATTATAATCCACACTGAGCTCTCTTTAATTAATAATATGCATATATTCAAGGCAATTGGTTCTGTATTATAATTCTGTCTTTATTTTTATTTACAATTTCAAAGTTTGCGTCTCATCCATTTAATTGTTAATAATTATTTTTTTTTTTATTAAAGTTGGCTACACGCTTTTGCCATTCACTTGCAAATGGGGCTTTAATTAAAAGAGGCGTTGTAACTTTGCAGACATTTACATATATTTATGCTTAATATGTATTTAAGCAGCCACGGCTAACAGCACAATTAACCATTGTGTGGGCTGCCTTAACTATGAAAAAAACTTTGGCCAGAAGCGAAACCACTTAAACTCATTTTAATTCAAGCGGCATACGAACTCGACTTCTTCGGGCAAACATGTATAATTTTATATATATAAGGATATACGCTTGTTTAAAAATTTACCTCTATACATATATGTACATATATGTGTGCGTCTATATATCATGGGGCAGACAGCAGACCCTTTCATATGCTCGCCACTATCCCAACACTTCCGCTGCCGTTACATGCAAACACTTGTAAAATAATTTCATACATTTTTGTTTTGCGCTTCTTTATCTTTTCCCACTCGGCTTTCCTTTTATACACCTTGCTGAGTTACTAGACGAGCGTATGTGTTTGGTTGTGGATGCTCAATTGGGTTCTTCACGCTTGAATGATTTCTAACTATTTTTTATTGAAATAAATGAAATATATAAGTATAAACTATAGCAACTATCCTTAACTCGTATAGTTTTTAGCAGTATATACTTTTAGATTAAATGTAGTATGATATAGATGAAGATCAATATAAATTTTAATAGATCTTGAGGAAATTGTTAATACTACAGATTATTTTAATGCAAGCATGTATTTAATTCTTATAGGTCCACATAGATATGTAGATAGTTGGTTGGATGGACGGTCCAATATATAGAAATACTTATCTATAAATACTTAGAGGACTTTTTGGGCTATTAAGACACGCCTCCTTTTATTTCATACATAGCTTTAAACATAATTTCTGCTTACCTATGTTTGACTTTAAGACTCCTAGTGTACTGCCGTCTCCAAATACGACTTCTTTCCGAGTCTCTTATTTCTAATAATCTTCTCCACATCCACTGAGCATCAATGCTTTGAATGATCATCTCACTCTCACTACGCAATGTCTGGAACTACGTTCTTTCTCTCTTAGTAGTGAGATTATTTTAAGAGTAAGAGCAGAAGTCAAGATATAAACTGGCTCGTATAATGCCTTCAAGTTCTCAGCTTGACGCCAACACTAATGTAACAATATGTAGTATTTTAGTAGTTTCTCGTATGCCTCAAAACAGAGTATGCTGTAGTCGGAATCAACCGAATGCCAACGCACCAACTTGTTGTTTTGCGTATGTCTAGCGCGTCTCAAAGGGTTTCGCACTTTCCTGTGTGTGTGTGCGTGTGTGTGATGTCTGTGTGTGTAGGTGTGTGCAGGGTGTTGGTTGTACGCCCCAAGCAAAGGCTGCATATGAAAATATTTGTTAAACCTTTTGCAATAAAGCAACAATTTATGCGAGTGCTGTGAGTATATGCTAAATGTGTGTGTAGTGTGTGTGTGTGCGTGCGTGTGTAGTATAGTATACATGTGTGTGTGTGTTTGTGTTTCTATGCATTTGTTGTAGTGCGAGGGCACTTTGAGGTCGCGTTGTAAATATTTAAAACTCATTTTGGTATGTTTTAATTTGTGCATTTTATAACTTGGCTGGCAAATGGAAAACTGGCTAAAGAAGCAGCTTCGAGATTTTAATCTGACCAGAGTAGATTATGCTTTAAATAAATGAGAAGTCTTAAGATAAAGGCCAAATGCCATTAACAGTGAAGGCAGCAAAATTGCATTTTATATTAGATTTGATAGAGTGGGAAAAATTTAACAAAATATAATCGATTAATATATCGAAGGCAGTCAAATGCAAGTGAGCAAATGTAAAATATGGAGGATGGAGATAATATGAAATTAAAAGTAATTTATAGGATAGAGCACTGGCTACAGAGCTGTTACGCTTGGACTAGAATAATATGGGGCAGAGTGTTTTATTATGAACTGGCCGATCAGTAGATGCTTGGAGCATTGCTCAGGGCTGCATTTGAATAGGCTGTTATTCCAATTGAGCTTTACTTTGGAATTAAATTTTTAAAAGCTTTTCTTTTAGTTGGATTTTTTTCTTCTTTTTAATCAATTTAAAGGCTCACGTGTACAGATAAACCAATTGAACAGATATATACATATGTATTATACAGGTAAACTTGTATACTAGAATATATAGGTAGATCTTCTTGTTCTCTTGAGACTTTATATATGAACAGAAATATCTAGATCGGTTCGATTGATTCGATTAAGTCCTCTCAAGCGGATCAAAACTCTCTATGCTCTTCGATGCCTCTCAAAGCTTGTGCTGCCGAATACCATATTCATAAAATTCGTCAGCTCTGTGTAACCATTATCAAGAAGCGAGAAGAGAGGTAAAGTAATTGCCCTGCATTCAATTTCCTTTCCAAGACAAGGCAGAGTATGGAGCAATTAATTTATGCAATACTACTAGTTCTTTATTGACACATGTTGCCAATCATATGGTGAGCTTCGTTTCTTATTATTGACTTTGCAACACTGTTGCCACTGCTCAACCGCACTTCACAACACTAATTGTCAGTCGAAGTGGTTGCAATGCTGCTCAAGGCTCGAGCACTCAAGCTGCGCTGCTCATTAAGAATGCGCTCACAATCATAAGCAGGCAGAGACTGACCGCAACAGAAGCGAACCTCAAGAATCACCATAAAGAGGGGTGTATGAAAATAAAAAGGTCTGTCGAAAAAGGTACAGAAATTGAAAACACTTTTAATATTCACTCTTGTAGCTGAATAAATGAGAAGTTGTCGGTGTGGCTGTGGCTGTGGGTGTTCGTGTGGGTGGCTAGAAAATGCAAAGGCGAAACAACAGCAGGAGAAGGGCAACCGCAGGAGCAGCAACAGCAGGAGCAGGAGCAGCAGATAAAAGGGCCTGGCATAACAGCGAAACCAATGAAAGGCACTCAACTGAAGAGGCCAAAAAGTGACTCACAGAGCGAGAGCCACAATGCAAAAAGGATGAACGGAAACGAAAAGATTGACTGCAACTTGTGGCGCCTTTGTAGCAGACTGTTGTTGTTAAGATTGTTGCTGTTGTTGTTGCACTTTTGCGTGGCCAAGTCCAGAGTGTGGCGAGCCCATGCCATTCCCTTTGCCTTTTGCAAACAGCACTCAGCTCACTTCAATGAATACTTTATGGGTTAATAATCGTAAAACCATTCAACAGCAACAGCAGCAGCAGCAGCCACCGCCCCGCCGCCGCCGCCAACCACCTCCACCACCATCAAGGCGGGCAACATCGTTTGGGCCAACTTTTGTGCGCGAAAATTCATAAACAATGTGCATAAAGCGCAAAATGTAGCGCTTCTGCGAGCTGACCCCAAGGGGCAACTTTATAGGTGTGCACTATGTGTGGCTGCGGTGGGGCAAGCAGGCAGGTAAGGGCAGGCAGGTGGGGCAAGTGGGGCCAGTGGAGTGCTGGTTATGCGTTGCTCGTCGATTGCTTGTCGCACTGCGCTGGCAAATTGTGTGCCAGCTGCTGTTGTTGTTGTTGTTGTTGTTGCTGTTGCTGTTAAGAGTGGAGTTTGGCAACAATAGCAAAAGGCAGCTATTGTTGTTGCTGTTGTTGTTGTTGCTATTTTGCATACTGGACAGTTGAATGAGTGGGTGAAGTGGCGGCTGGGTAGATTTGGCGGACAGCTCAATGGGACTTTCAGTTGAGCAACGCTTAGCGCACAGTTTGACGTTGATTTTGTGTTCGAGGTGTTGTCATTGTTGATGTTATTGGGTTGTTGTTGTTGCCGTTTTGTTGTTGTTGCTCCTTTGCGGATTATAAACTTGTACAGCACTTTAATGACTAAAATGGATTAAATGTGTGCCATGTGCAAGGTGGGAAAAGTTCCGTACGTAACAGAATCATTTTACAGGGAATATCATAGAAAGATATTGTATATGGGTTTATCTTGTAACATGACATGGAGAATAGCTTTAATTGAACTATCAATGGGGATAGCAACGCAGGGATATTGTCAGTTGCTAGTTATATATATAGGTAGAGAAAAACGTTGGAATAGGGTAGATATTTTGTACATGTAACTCGGCTCGGCTTATAGAACATTGATTGGGTTTTCAAGTAGTGCTATAGATGGAGGTATGTATATCATAATAAAGGAGTACTGAAAATGAGTAGCTAAAAAAAAATGTAATTCGAGTGTTTATTTAGCAAAATAATTAAGAGATTATGGGACATAAAAGGGCATATTTTGATATACAGATATATATCTATCTATATATGCATATATCTGAACAAATAAAAGTATATATATAGTATAAATAAGCATTAAAAATTAATAAATACATATATATAAAATA